TACAATAATAGATACAGAGAAAAACCCAACAATCACATGACCCCCTATGAGCAAGGACTTTGGCGACAGTGGGAAGGAAAAATTCCCTTTTAACAGGAAGAAACCTCCAGCAGAACCAGGCTCAGGGAGGGGCGGCCATCTGCCGAGACCGGCAAATATGAAAATTAAGAGATTAAAAAGTGCAATAGAAAAACAAAACATCTTTGTAATATTTTCTAAATAATTAATGGTTATATTTTATGTTAATTTAATGTCACATTAGTCTATTGAATGATTTATTTCTCTTTATATTTTGTGATCAAGGGTGTTTTCAACCGTTTTGTTCGTCACACTTCCAGGTGCATTTGTTTGCACAGTTTGCTTCTTTCTTGTTAATTTTTAACAACAACGAAAAAAAAGCCAACACCAAAGAAGCAAACATCCATCCTATTATCCAATTCAGGGTTGCAGAGGGGTCAAAGATAAACCTTGTCAAACCTTCTGAGCTCTATGAGTTTAAAATAAATAAAAAAAAAAACACACAAAGGCTCAACTCACATTTGCCAAAACATATCTTGATGGTCTCTTTTAGGAAAATATTCTATGGTTTGATGACACAAAATTTGAACTTTTTGGGAGGTTTGCATCCCTTACACCTTAAACCTAACACAGCATTTCATAAAAAAGAACAGTTAAACATGGTGGGGGTGTGAGGGTCTGAGGCTGCTTTGCTGCTTCAGGACCTGGATGATCCAACATAATTGATGAAACCATGAATTCTGCTCTCTGCCAGAAAATCCTAAAGGAGAATGTCCATCAGTTCTTGCCTGATAAAAAGTGCACTTGGGTTACACAGCAAGACAAAACTCACTAGCAAGTCCACATCATGTCAAAACAATGAAAATAAGGTTAAGGTTTAAGAGTGACCTAATCCAAGTCCAGATTTAAATGTGAATAAAATGTTCTAGAATCACCTTAAACAGATTGTACATGTTTGAAAACCTTCCAGTGTGGCTAAATTAAACACTTTTAGAAAGGAGAGTGGGCCAGAATTCCTCCACAGCAATGTGACAGCCTCATCATTAGTTATTGCAAATGCTCTATTGTAGTCCCTAGGTTTAGGTAGCGATTACTTATCACATAGTGACAGGTACGGTTAGACAGCTTTTTCTTTTTTTACCTTAATAAATGAAACCATTATTTAAAAAATGTATTTTATCATAACTCGGGCTATTTTAGGACTAATATTATTATTATTATTATTATTTATTTTTTTATTTTTTTTGGATGAACCCTAAACACGTAAGCATGATAAATTTAACAGGAAACAGTGAAACCGTGCAAATACTTTTTCACAGCAATGTATGTGTATTTTTTTTACATAAACACAAATAGAAATATGAACTGAATATGTGATCAGCTAATTATCTTCATACACCAACTGTGGCAAAGGCACTCCAGCTTTACTGATATAAGGAAAGATAACTCGTACTGTATGTGTGCACATCCTTCATCTTTCTTCATGATGCTTGCCATGTTGAAGCGCCGTGAGGCGACTTTTGTTGTGATTTGGCGCTATATAAATAAAATTGAATTGAATTGAATTGGTGTTTTCTTAATATTCCCACTAGGGAGCAGCATTGAGAGGAACAATGTTCAGCCATACATACACAGATCCATAAAAATGTAGAAAGTATTAGAATAGCAGTTTTATTTGCAAATGTATACTGAGACCTGTAATTGTAATTCCATTCAAGAAATGTACTTTCTTATTCTTTATCATGAGTGAACACTGATTGTTTTGTCCCTAAGCCAAGAAACACTGATCATTATTTACTTACATCTATGCAGGTAACTATAATTTTTTATCAATGCCCTGCAGTGCCTCAGAAAATAAAGACTGCATTGCTGCAGAAAAATTGCAACCACTTCAGCATTAACAATCAATACTCACATCCGACCCCTGAATTTTGATGCACTGAAGACCTCCGCAGGTTTAAATCTATTTCATGAAAAGGTGACTACATGGGAATTAGCTAGTTTTCCCTGTTAATTATTCACAAAGTGATTTGATCTTCATCTAAATCTATAGACAGCATTAAGCTCAAAATGTTGATGTACAAAATTTGGGGGAAAATTTGGTTCTACAGTCAGAATTTTCTCAGCATTGCCACATTTGCAGGATATGAGATGTGATGTGCCACTGTTAAAGACATGAGTTGCGATCTGGGCTTTAACTTGGCCAAACCCTAACATTTCCCTGGAACATGACTTGATAGATGACCCTAGTTGAACTTATTTTATTCCTAAGCCTCAGTGTTCTTTTGTAAACTTCAAGTAACATTTTTTGTCATATCTGGTCTTTGGGCAGCTCGTATGTATTAGACTTGTGGGCATCTAATAACTTATTTTAGCCGTTAGCTATTTCCTTTGGAGTCATCTTAGCTGGTTTCCAATAGAGAACAGACACAGTACCAATACATCTTCTTCGCCTTCTCCTGCTCTCTCTGGTAGCTTTCATTTTCACACTCCACTGTTTTGTCATAAAAGCTAAAAAAAAAAAAAAAAGGCCCAAAACTGAGATATTCTGAATGTCTGTAAGTGTTTTTATCGATGATGACAAAACCTCACATGGTTGAGTGACAATACAGTGTTTTTGATAAGTTAAAGCAGCGCCAACCCTTTGCAGCTGTCCTCTTCATCCATATCCACCAAATGGTTGTAAATCAAGAGGAATGACTAAAGCTGGGCAGCGAGATGACCATTAAGCAGAGGTGACACACTTGGGACACCACACGTCGCTGTTGAGCAGTCTGGAGTGTTTGTTGGATTAAATTAACGACACGCTGACAATGAACAGTGCCCACCTGACAATCAAACTCCTTTCAAACTCACTCAAGACATCAGGCAAGAGGCAGCGCTTTTAGGTATGGGATGATACCATCAAGTCCTGTCAGCTCTTGAGACACACCTGGCAGTTTTCAGGAAGTTATTTTGAAATAAATTCTAAATTACACAAAAACTGCACAGATACAATTACCAACCAAATGTCATGAGTTTAAAAAATGCCACATTTTACATTTTTACCACAACCTAAGTAGCAAGATGGTGGCTATCAGTTCAAGATTCTTTTAGTTTGATCACTTTGTGGCAGCTGTATCGGAAGGTAGAGTTTTAGTGACACAAACCCCATCTTGTACGTGCATGTGGAAGTGTCCTCGGGCAAAATAACTCCTAATTTTCCCCCAGAGCCATGGATTAGAATCTGAGTGATGGTTAAAGGCATGAAAGTGTTGCGTGAATCTCCAAGATTTTGTTGACGTCATTATCCCAGGGATTCTCAAGGGAGTTTTTCTTTCAGTTTAAGGCATTTCTGTTTAATTTACACTGAGCATCATTCTGTGAGGATCTGTCCTATTCATCTGTCCCTCAGTTCTTTCTGCTCTAAAAGAGAGCTCAGTTGCCCACATATCAATTCAATTCAGTGTTATTTATACAGCGCCAAATCACAACAACAGTCGCCTCAAGAAGCTTTATATTGTAAGCTAGACCCTACAATAATACATACAGAGAAAAACCCTACAATCACATGACCCCCTATGAGCAAGCACTTTGGCGACAGTGGGAAGGAAAAACTCCCTTTTAACAGGAAGAAACCTCCGTCAGAACCAGGCTCAGAGAGGGGCGGGGCCATCTGCCGAGACTGGTAAATATGAAAATTAAGAGATTGAGATTAAGATGCATACTTATTTTATTTAGTTGTGTAAAAGCTTCTTAAAGATATGTTGTTCTTTTGTGTGTTATCTTTGTCATCTGGAGTGACATCCCAAAGGCATCACAACAGTGGACTTTTATGTTTTAGTGTCAGTTAATAAGCATGGTTTAACTTAACTCTCATAATTAGTTGATAAGATGACAATGACCCCTAATTATTTTATTTAAAATACTGTTTATATTTAAATATGCATGCATTTTCACACACCAAAGGAAAATAAAACTCAACACTTTCAGTTTTCTGTAAACATGGTTAAATATTTGCACAATTCTAATAGAAAAACTTACCATGAATAATTGACGGGGGTATATCAGGTATATGATCTTAAATGAGTTTCTTCAGCTAAATATAGCTATCCACATAAAATCAGAAAAAAGAAGAAAATCCAAATATGACATAATGGAGCATAGGACAGTGTTCTCAGTAATGATATATAGGATCAACTTCCTACTTTTAGAAATATACACATTTAAAAAGACACAAAGGTATGCCAGAAGTGCCTATTAACATTTTTAAGATTTTTTTTCTAGTAAAAGGTATTGTTTCTTGAACTATGGCTGAGACGGTCAGTATAGGACAATTTTGAGATTTGGCACAAAGTCTTTAAAAATAAGTAAAAGGAAGTCAGGTTTTATTACAGGTCTATGTAAAACAAAGAAATGTTTAACCATTTAATAGCACTTTAAATGAGGACAATGAAAACTCACTAACTCTTGTTTATCTTGAACGCTGTACAAAAGTCTTTCTGGAGGTCTTTCAAAGTTTTTGTTTGGACACTGGCTACTTGTCTACTTCTCTCTCATCCTCTGACCAACATCCCCTTGTGTCACACCAACCCTCTGCATGTCCTCCTTCACAACATCCTCGAACTTTCTCTGTGATCTTCCTCTTTTCCTACCTCAACATCATTCACACAGAATGTCCACTTCCCCTCCTCTGCACATGTCCGAGCATATATTTGTCCCTCTGATTTACTCATTTAAAATCCTGTCGATCACTCCCAACAAATATTTTTACATCTTCACAATAGCCATAATTATATATTTATTGCAGTGTTACCTAGTAACAGACCACTTTCTACTTGCAGTGACAGCAGCCCTGTCTCTAATGTATTCTCGGTGTTAAAGAAGCTTGCACTGTAGCTTGCACTGAGCTGAAGCCCGACAAATGAAGCAGTGTTTCCCTTTAAAAAGATCAATCTGACGTAACGTGACGCAGATGCTTCCGTCCATATACCCTTGTGCCTCTCCTCCTCACGCGGCAGCCATCCAGTGCATCTCCCTGCATCCCTCCTGACTCAGCCCCCTCTCTCCCTCCTCCCCACGCCTCCTCGGACGTGCCGCCGCTCCATCAGGCGGAGCTCTTGGTGGAAGAAATGAGGGACACAACAACAACCATGGCGATGGAGCTGTGGACGGACTAACAGCGGTATACGGGAAGCCGGGCACAGGTAAGCGGGGCCGGGTCAAGCCCGTTTATGGAAATCATCGGTGCCATCCGTGGATGCTGCAGAGCTCTCTCAGTGCGGAGAACGAGTCTGCGTGTAGTGAACCGAGTGGCTCACAACAGCGGTTAGAAATAATAAGTGAATGGAGCCCCCGTGCAGGGAATTTGTGGAGAGTAAAGCTCTTGGTTGTCGGGTCAGGCTGTTTTCTGGCCTGTCTGTTTGTTTTGGTGCAGCTGATGGAGGCATGATGATGATGATGTTGATGCGCAGTGCGCTTTCTCCGGCAGATGTTTTCGCGTCTGGTCATCCTGCGCGTCCATGTTTGAACTCTCACGGGCCTTTGGGCGTCAGATATAGTACACACTGTCCACGCAGCGTCACAGCAGACAGTTTTTAAAACCCCTGGCTCCGCATGCACAAGTAGCTCACACTCAAAGTGAGTGTCATCCATGTTTGCAGGCGGCAGAGTCGTGACGGGCTGCCTGGCGCTGCAGTTTGACCTTGCAGCATTCCTGTTTTTCCACTAACGTAACGTCCTGCCTGACAGATGACAGAGCCAGAGCTCTTTTTTCATGTCCACATGACTTTTACTCTGATCATATCACAGAACAGTCTAGTTTCCGTGAGCAAATTCATTTGCGCACAGTTTTCTTTTACGGGTTTTCTGTCAGGCTTAAGCCTGATTTTAATAGAGTGGCAGAGAAGCGTAGTCAGTGAATGGATGGAGTTATGAAAGGAGTTTGATTGAAGATTCTGGCGCAAGGATCTCCCTGAATATTCTTGGCACAGAAAGCATATTGTGCATTTCTGTGCCAGTGCTGAAAGAACACTTCCTCCACTTTGTCATCATAAATGCTCAACGTTTTTTACAGTTAAGTAGGTAGACACCGAGAAGTACATGTGTGCAAGCAAAGACTGTTAAATACATTTGGACACTAATGCACTATGAGACACTGAGCCCATTTTCTTTCATCTCTAGCAGCTTTTGCATTTTTTGTGTTGCCATGTTGCATGTCTTGGTAGTGATTGTCTTTTAGATTTGAGTTTTCTACTTTTGTGTAAAACTGTTTTCAGTCTCTGTTTATAGGCTTTTGATCTTTATATGTAAGAAATGTTATTTTTGTTGTTCTCTGTCTCTTTGCCTCTACTTTTGTTTAATTTGCATATTTGTGGAATGGTTTTAGGTGTTGTTTTATTGGATCTTTCATAGTTGTTTTGGGTCTTTGTAATTGTTTTGAATCATTTGTTGCCTTTTTAAGGAAATGTATGTATTTGTGCACTTAATTTTAAAGCCATTCCATTTCCGTTGCCATTTTAAGTTCTATTTTCATGTTTAAATTGTTTGTTGTTGAGTCTCTTTTATCCTTTCATTTTGAATCTCTTTTTAGATACCCTTCAGAAAGGGGCTACCAGACCCAGGCACCCAAGGAGTCACAGGGGCTCTTGGGGAACTGAGCCTGTTCCGTTAGGACTGTTCAGTTCTCCAGCCACACTTATGAACCTTAATTAATTTATGAGGCCACATACGGTCAGTACGCTGTCTGAAACAGAAGTCCAATGCATTGCTGCAAGCTGTAAGACTGAGCTGTCCTTTGCAGCATTGCCATCTTGTCAGCAGCAGGCTCCTTCCTTCATCCTGTTCCTCAGTGCACCCAGCCAATAGCCACTCTCCTTCTGGTCACGTTCCAAACAAGTGGCGGACTGACCGTTGCCATGGTGACGTAGTCACCAGGCAAAAATGTGTGCCATTTATCCAGATGCACTCATGGAGAGTAAATTTTAGGAACAACAAGCAGAATTGTTGATCCTTCAAGTGTGGCACTGCTCCGGTGGTCTCTCAGTATATGAAATGCTCTTTGTTCTATTTGTTGTAGTGTCAATCAAACCTTCAAAACCATGAATGCTGCAAAGGAAGAAAGGGTATTCCCTTTTAGTATAGGTATAGCCCACATGTGCAGTAAAACATGTCACTTTGAATTTCAGTTGTTTGCACAATATTTCTACAGTAACTGGAGATAAGGTTTAGTGGCTATAAAGAAGAAAGAGCAGGGGAAATAGCAGAAAGCTTAATTTTACACAATACTAAGTTTAATTGTATAAGTGGCTCTTCAGACCTCAGTTACACACCTAGAGACCGGTCTGCGGCCCTCAGATCTCTAGAGAAGAATGTGTACTCCCTGAGCAGATAGTGATTTGTAGCTGAAGGTTGCTGGTAGTCTTTAGTAGCAGTTGTTAGGTGAACCTGGTCGTAAAGACAATACTGCACAAGCAACCTTCATATAATTGCTTTGGTTGCTAGATTGCTGCAGTCACCTGTTATGTGCATGGAAGATGATGACTTGCTTGCAGACTGGGGTGGCTGTAGCTCAGGAGGTAGAGCAGGTCATCTGCTAGTCGCAAGGTTGGTGGATCTATTCCTGGCTGTTACTGCTGTAGTCATACTCCAGTACATCTGTTGGAGTATGAACTCTGGTGCTTCCGTGTGAGTGTTTTTAGGTAGAAAAACTACATGTATAAATGGATGAATGAGGTAAGTTGTATAAAACACTTTTTAGTGCTCAGGTAGACAATCAGCCCATTTACCAGATACTCGCTAAATAACCACCAAGCAGTAGTGAAACCTGAAAAAGTGCAGCACAAAGAAACTGAGAATGTTTGCTTTAATGCAACGTATGTCTTACTGCTGAAACCAACACATTTCCAAACACTGCAACTTTTACTATGAAGACAAACAGTCTCTTTTTGCATTCACACAAAATTCACCATCACTTAGAGACCAAGACTAGTGATTGGTGGTTGCAAGGGGGTCAACGACCAGCCTCTATGCCTCTGTGACTTACTTTAGCAAAGGACTTAACAGGGAATGGCAGCAACCTCCAGTAACCACTCACCACTGGTTTCTCTAGTGGCCAGTGTTTGCCTGGTCACCAACTGGTGTTTAGGCCTGTGTAACTGGAAGCTAAATGTTGCTACAGGTAGATAAAGACAACCAATTTAACAAATTGAATCATTATTACAAATTGTTATTTGTAAGGTATTTTCCGTCACTGGGATGATAATCAAGTGTGAGTATGCACCCCTGTTTTTACATTACAAAAACAGAGATTAAAAAAGTCTCGTCTTCACAACATGTTGGTGGAAATACACAAGTGAGATTTCTTATGATCTCATGAAATCTTCCAAGTTGTTCAGCTGAACACAGAAAAAAAAAAATAAAGGAATAAAAATAATGGTTTGGAACAGCCAAGTTCAAGTCCAAACCTTAAAGTTATGGAAGGAAACTTAGCAACATTAAATTATGTTATAAACTATGAAATGGGCAAAAGATCCTCCAAAGTCGATGCAGGACTCATCAACAGTTATTCAAAAGATTAGCTGCAATTATTGCTGCACAATGAAGTCAAACCAGAGGCTAAAAGCAAAGGTTGTAAACAATTTCCTCTCATTTTTTCACTTTATATGTTTGATTTTGGTCCTGACGATCTTTTCTGTGTTCCATCTCTCGCCCTTTCGTGGCTGTTCACAGTGAAGAATTGAGTACATACGTTACTCAGGAGATGGTGGAGACCAACACAGAGAAAAAAGAGAGCAGATATTCTTCTATCCATCCAGTGTTCACAAAAATACCACTTCAGATGATACATGCCTGAAATAGGCAGGAGAGATAAGCAATGTCAATCGACAGTGAAAGAGATTCATGTAGGCAGTGCTGAGTTGTACACTGTAATAATGTGATTATTGATTTCCTGCTTTTATCAATGCTCTTTGGTTCACACACGCTATTAGCACGATCATTTAGGCTGCAGCACTCTGGCGTGGTTTCATTTGCTGCTGCTTGGCTCACTAATGACAAACCTATGGTGTATTGGATATTTTGAGCATTTGACCTGATTAAGCTCAGACAGCCCCTTAGAAATCCAGAAGTGCTTTTTAACCAAAGCCAAATGAGGGCAAAAGTCCAATAAATGCCTGATGTAACGAAACTATAAGAGCACCATTAACCCTGGTGAGCATAAAAGAAAAAAAACAGAGTCTTGTTATTATTGATTGATTATATTTGTTCAAGGATTAGAACATTATTATTTTTTCTTTGTTATGTTAATTAGTAAGAGCACTGCTGTAGCAGCTTTATTGCTGTGCTCTGCTGGACCTTATTCTGCATGCACTGCGGCAATAGGGTGACTCTGCAGGACTGGCCTGATCTGCGTTTGCCGTTTTGACCTCCTTACTGTATGTGTGAATAAGTTTGTATATGCTCATGGCTCATGTTCATGGGGAAAGGCTTGTAAGAAAGAGGAGCTGGTCTTCACGTTGCCATCTGTTTTGAGAAACTGACATTGTGCAGCCTTTACTGCAGTGTGTATTTGCATCACTATCAGCTGCTGCTATAGAGACTTGCTGTGGGTAGGTTTATACCACTTTCTATTGTGAAAGGGCAATAAAAATTGATTCTTTTTAATTGCACCTCTCTGGAAACCTCAATTCAAGATTTTATCGGTCAATAACAGCTATTTGCCATTGCAAATGCCAGTACCAATTAAAAACATAAAAAAGAGACAAACACCCTTCATCCATGTAACGAGTGTTTCCATTGCATAGTTTGTTCCCCAGAGTGCACTCTGCAACTTCCCTGTCGGCAACATATGTTTGGAATGCCACAAACATGACAACCAGCTGAGCCAAGCAGAGCTGGGCAGAGCATAAATCAAATAAGTGCTGCACTGGATGCATTTGTATAAAACTTCCACAAAGAAACGCAGAGGATTAGTGACTTCTGTGATTGTTATGAAACAAAGTCCCAAATGTCTTGTTGTTTTTTCCTTTAGCTGCACTGTAGACTGCAGAGACCAAACCTGACGACGGCTAACAAACAGATCAACCAGCAGATTTTTAGTTATTTCCAGTGTTTTATGTAGTGTTTACATGTAATTTGTCCTTTGTAGGAAAAATCCAGGAAACCAGCACCTCTACCATCAACATCATAACCATGTTTTTCTTGTGTA